CACATACTGCCAACACACATTTCAGTTCAAACAACTTGTAAAAGTGCATGTAGCATCCTATGACCCCTTTAAGTAACTACTCTCAGCTACAAACCCAGATTCTGAGCCTTTTACTCAGTCAGACAACTATTTCAACATTAAGAAATGAATGAAAGAATCCTTATTAAGCAGAGATTATCGGTAACACTTTATTTTAAGGTGTCCTTGTTACACGTTACATGTACTTACTATTATAATAACAATATATCATGCATAATTACATGCAAGTAACCCTAAACCAAACACTAACCATATAGTAGTAAATTAATATTACTCAGTACTTAAATGTGAAATCCAGCACTGTAACAAGGACACCTTAAAATAAAGTGTAACCAGATTATCAGTTTCCATGCGCATGTTTTACAAACGTGCTTTTCTGAAAATAATTTCTAGTGGACTGTTTGATATGATCAAGCTCTGTCATGTGTTTCTCTGCACAGGTACAATTATGACCCTGGAGCACAAAACCAGTCATAAGGGTCAATTTTTAGAAATTGATATGTATGCATCATCTGAAAGCTGAATAAATAAGCTTTCCATTGATGTATGGTTTGTCAGGATAGCACAATATTTGGCTGAGATACAACTATTTGAAAATCTGGAATCTGAGGGTGCAAAAAAATCTAAATATTGAGAAAATCATCTTTAAAGTTGTTCAAATTAAGTTCTTAGCAATGCATATTACTAATCAAAAATATTTTTTATATATTTATGGTAGGAGATTTACAAAATATCTTCATGGAACATGATCTTTACTTAATATCCTAATGATTTTTGGCACAAAAGAAAAATCAATAATTTTGACCCATACAATGTATTGTTGGCTATTGCTACAAATATACCCCAGCGACTTAACACTGCTTTTGTGCTCCAGGGTCACAAATATGTTTCACAAGCACACATCAGACAAATGAGAGAGACAGTAGAGGAATGTCCCGCACAACAACTAGTTAAAGCTAATTAAAGCTTCAATAACTGCTCTGACGCTGCATTCCAGCTGTAACATCTGCATTTACTAACAGTTATGGATCTGTTCACAGAGATCTTCACTGGCTACAACATGAAAGATGATAACAGAGCTTTTGTTAAGGTTTGCAGTCACATATTTTCACATAATCTTCTTGGTGTTTTATTATCGCCCTCTGGTGGTGACATCACTAAACCAATTACATTACATGCAAAAACAAAATAAATATACATTATGTTTTGTATAAAGAAAAGTGATCATATTTTACGACCATTAAGATTTTTTATTTAATTTTTTTTGCGTTGATCATTATGTTTAAGACAGTTACGAGTCATTCTCATCTTATTATATAATGTAATAAAAAAATATAACTGAAATTGTACAGCACTTATAGATCATGTTAATATTTTTAAACTGCTTTTATTTTTTATGGCATTTTTATGTTTTTTATTGATTTTTTTATTATTATTTTTATGACAATTATAAGTCACTCTCATCTCATTATGTAATGTAACAAAAACACAGAAATTATATAGTATATATAGATCATGGTAATATTTTTGTACTGCCTTTATTCATGCTTTTATTAATTAATTAATTCATTCATTCAT